GGTTCAGGTCCACCCAGAGATGCCTTAGAAGAAATACCCTGATGATCTACTTTCAAAAATCGAGCCATTGAAAAACCCTATAAAGTACAATTCTTTTGGTACATGTGGAGTCACTATGAATTGGAGTTAAATTGATGCTAACTGGATTTGGTTGTATTTAGTATCATTTAGAAATGGTCTCAGTGAAAAAGAAATAGAATGAAAGGTAGAACAATTTTTCTTCCGTAAAAATGATAAATACAATTTCTGAATCAGCTAGTACATTGAAGTCCAGTCTTTCTTTTTCTCGTGAAGCCAATGAAGTCTACCATATATGTTGTGGTTCAATGCTCAACTGCACCCTTTCCGTACCAGATTCTTGTTGGAAGTTGCATATTGGGAGAAGACATAATCAATCAGAGGCCATCCTTCTCGGGCTTCAACGTAACTCTTTTCACACATGGTTTGGATGAGAAGGAGGGTGGAATTTCTCACCTGTATTAGGGTAAAAAAAATTGCAACATTTTATCATATTGGGAAAGATGAAAATTTAGCTTCCTTTATTCCTTAGCCTTCATGTATAATTTACTGAGAAACTTTACAAGCAGGGATATAAATTAAGTGTTGTATTAACATAAAAATGTAACAAGTGGCAAACTAAAAGGGTATGATATGATGGTTATCAGAGAGACTTTCTTTAGCCATTCTCTTCTTGGTTCACAAAGACATATATTCTATAGCTCTACATTATATGAAATTTTTGTAAATTAGGCTAGAATATTTCCTCACTTTAAAAATCTTTAATGAAAGATTAAATATTGAAGACAATTACAGGACATTAGCATGTTAGTACACAATTTCAAACTGTAAAAAAAAAGAATCCATCTGAGTACTGAATTTTTTATTCTTAAGTTTGACACCAGCTCATATAATAGCAAGACTAAAAAGAAATTGTAGGTGGAGGGTCAGCAAAAGAGAGAAAGACTCTCAATGAGGTGGGTTGACACAGTGACTATAGCAGCAATGGGCTCAAGTATGTCAGAGATGATGAGAATGACAAGAAATGATAAGAAAGGATTCAGATCTGTTCATAGACAAGGTCACTTGACCTGATGGCACCCAACAACAATAATATGGATATTCATTTCTTTGGCTGCAGAAACATTAATAGCTTTGATTTTGGACTACTATTAAAATAGTATTTTCTTAAAATCTAAAAAAAATTGCATTCTAAAATATATCTGTCCTCAAGGATTGTTGTTGTTATGTGCTGTCAAGTTGCCTGAGACTCATAGCAACCCTATGTACAACAGCCCTAAATTCTGCTCTATTCTGTACTGATCTCACTGTCTCCGACACACATACCCCCATTACCCCAGTCACTGAATTAATCCACCTCATAGCAGGTCTTCCTCTCCTGAGATGTCCCTCCACCCTCTCTCAAGCATGACATCATTCTCCAAAGATTGGTCCCTCCTTGCATCATGTCCAAAGTATGTCAGACGAAACTTCAGAATCCTTGCCTCCAAGGAGCAGCCCAGTTTCACCCTCTTCAGGATGAATCTGTTTGTTTTCTTAGCAGTCCGTGGTATATTCAATACTCTTCTCCAGCACCACAGCTCAAATGTCTAATTTGTCTTATCCTCTCTAGTCATTGTCCAGCTATGGATGGCCAAGAAAACAAGCCAATATGTCTTGGAGAGAGTGAGGCTGGAGTGCTCTTTGGAGGCACGAATGATGAGACTTCATCTCACATACTTTGGGCATGTTGCTAGGAGGGAGGGCTATTCCTTGGAGAATGACATGATACTGGGAAGGGTAGAGGGTTGGTGAAGGAGAGGAAGACCCTCAGCTAGGTCAGTTGGCATTGTGATTGCTGCAATGGGTTCTTATGTGTCAGGAAGTGTGAGTATGGTGCAGACAGAACAGGGTTCAGATTATTTGTAGGGTCTCTATGAGTCATACTCGACACAACAGAACCCAACAACAACAACAAAGATTAGAATAAAGGATAATAAATCTGTATTGACACTAATTAATAATTTCAATTTTATTTGTTTATCAGATTGCTTCATTGGACAGAAAGCTAATGTTCAACCTTTTGGTGAATGGGTTTTTTACTGGATGGTGAGAAGAAAAGAATGACTTTGATGAGGAAGACAGGTATAATAAGTGAGGTATAATAAGTGTTGAGTCATTTAACATATGGGCACTAAGCAATCTGCATGAGTAGAAAAGAAAGATGAACCTCTTTTCTATTCTTTTTTGCTTAGGGAAAATGTTTTAGTTTTAAATAATAGTTTAAAGGATAAAATACATGAGTTCTTCTATTCTATCTTATAGTCTTCTTAAATTTCTCCCATTGGTTGGGTCAGTTACTGGGTCTGACTTTTACAGATTATCACTCTTTGGATTTTATGCCTCGTTTTATTGTTTTTAAGAAGCAAACAATCTCTTTTAGGGACACTTCCTCAATGTCAAGAAAACAAAGATTCTCACCACTGAACCAATTGGCAGCATCAGGAAGGATGGTGAAGACATTGAGACTGTTCACAGCTTTAGTCTGCTTGGCTCCACA